AAAGACTTGACACGTTGAACACTAATGACAGAAGACCAGACGAGTTGTGGAATGATATCAAGGACATCATACATGAAGAAAGCAAGACGTCATTAAAAAGACACGATGGAAAGAAAATACCAAAATGGAGAGCCTCTGAAACTTGCTCTTTAATGTCGAGTAGCTAAAGTACAAGGAAGAAATGATAAAGTAAAAGAACTGAACTGAAGATTTCAAAGGGTGGCTCAAGAAAAAGTAAAGTATTATAATGACATATGCAAAGAGCTGGAGATAGAAAACCAAAAGGGAAGAACATGATCGGCATTCCTCAAGCTGAAAGAGCTGAAGAAAAAATTCAAGCCTCGAGTTGCAATAGTGAAGGATTCTATGGGGAAAATATTAAACGACGCAGGAAACATCAAAAGAAGATGGAAGGAATACACAGAGTCATTATACCAAAAAGAATTGGTCAAAGTTCAACCATTTCAAGAGGTAGCATATGATCAGGAACTGATGGTACTGAAGGAAGAAGTACAAGCTACACTTAAGGCACTGGCGACAAGGCTCCAGGAATTGACGGAATACCACTTGAGATGTTTCAACAAAAGGATGCAGCACTGGAAGTGATCACTCATCTATGCCAAGAAATTTAGAAGACAGCTACCTGGCCAATTGACTGGAAGAGACCCATATTTATACCTATTCCCAAGAAAGGTGATCCAACCAAATGTGGAAATTATTGAACAATATCATTAATATCACATGCATGTAAAATTTTGCTGAAGATCATTCAAGAGTGCCTGCAGCAGTATTTTGAAAGGAAACTGCCACAAATTCAGGCCAGATTCAGAAGAGGACATTGGAACCAGGGATATCATTGTGGATGTCAGATGGATCCTGGCTGAAAGCAGAGAATACCAGAAAGATGTTTACCTGTGTTTTATTGACTATCAAAGGCATTCGATTGTGTGGATCCTAACAAATCATGGGCAATATTGCGAAGAATGGGAATTCCAGAACACTTAATTGTGCTCATGAGGAACCTGTACACAGATCCAGAGGCAGTTGTTCAGACAGAACAAGGGGATACTGCATGGTTTAAAGTCAGGAAAGGTTGTATCCTTTCACTATACCTATTCAATCAGTATGCTGAGCAAATAATCCGAGAAGCTGGACTGTATGAGGAAGAAAGGGACATCAGGATTGGAGGAGGACCCATTAACAACCTGCAATATGCAGATGACACAACGTGGCTTGCTGAAAGTGAAGAGGACTTGAAGCACTTGCTGGTGAAGATCAAAGGCCACAGCCTTCAGTATGGATTACACCTTAACATAAAGAAAAAAAATCCTCACAACTGGGCCAATAAACAACATCACAATAAATGGAGAAAAGATTAAAGTTGTCTAGGACTTAATTTTACTTGGATCCACAATCAGTGTCTATGGAAGCAGCAGTCAGGAAATCAAAAGTTGCATTGCATTGGGCAAATCTGCTACAAAAGACCTCTTTAAAGTGTTGAAGAGCAAAGATGTCACCTTGAAGACTAAGGCATGTCTGACCCGAGCCATGGTATTTTTAATCTCATCATATGCATGCAAAAGCTGAATAATGACTAAGGAAGACTGAAGAATGGATGCCTTTGAACTGTGGTGTTGGTGAAGAGTATTGAATATACCATGGACTGCCATAAGAGCGAACAAATCTGTCTTGGAAGAAGTACAACAAGAATGCTCTTTAGAAGCAGGAACGGCGAGACTATGTCTTACATACTTTGGGCATATTGTTAGGAAGGATCAGTCCCTGGAGAAGGACATCACGCTTGGTCAAGTACAGGGTCAGCGAAAAAGAGGAAGAACCTCAGGAAGATGGATTGACACAGTGGCTGCAACAATGGGCTCAAGCAAAACAACGATTGTGAGCATGGCGCAGGACCAGGCAGTGTTTCCTTCTGTGGTGCACAGGGTCGCTATGAGTTGGAATCGACCTGATGGCACTTAACAACAACAGCATAGGGTCTCTGTGAGTCAGAATCGACTCGTCAGCAATGAGTTTGGTTTTTTAGTATGGCCTTTAGTGGAAGCCTACAGACTAAGAATTCTTTAAACTGAGAATTTATAAAGTTATATTGACTGAATAATATATAGTGAAAGTTTGAAGCCGTGTCTTCCTTAATACGGTGAAGGCTGTTGATCACCTGGTGAGCATGGTACAGCTTAAGAGTGAAGTCCAGCCTGATTACTAGTGTTATGCTTTGCTGATTATTAAATATATTGAATGTCACCTTTGAATATAATATAAATTGGCATAATTAAAATATTTATTAGATCATATAATTTTTACGATATATATGTAAATGTACATGTTGTTGTGTGCCATCAAGTCAATTCCTACTCATAGCAACCCAGTGTGACAGCGTAGAACTCCCCATAGAGTTTTCTAGGCTGTAATCTTCACAGGAGCAGATCACCAGGTCTTTCTTTCTCCCAAAGAGATGCTGGGTCAGTTCGAACCACCAACATTTCAGTTAGCAGCCAAGTGCTTAACCTTTGCACCACCAGGGCTCCTTGTAAATATACATACATATATTGATGGACCATTTTTTATGGACAGCAACTGTCTTTGTTGCTCCCATATTTTTATTATAGTTTTTGTTTTAATTTATACAATTTTAATTGTAATGTACAATTTGCATTCGTGGTTTTTTTTTTTTTTAAAAAGTATGTCCTGAGATTTTTCCCTTATAGAAATGTGAATGGCATAGGTCTGATAAGAATTAATCATCTAACAGATGGGATAGCATATAATTAAATAATTTTGAAATTCTTCATGTAAATAATTCATTAATTTTTTCTTTCTATTCATAAAAGATTTGAATGTTTTGTGTCAAGTAATACACATAGTAAGTTTTAAAGGTTCTGCTTTCTAGTAATTCACATTGAAATACACCTAATTTAATGAAGGTAATTGATACATTCTTACAAAAAAATCCGTCTCCTTATATATAAAAATACATAAAATAAGACTAAAGTGGAGAATTAATTCATATAAATTTTTTAAAAGAGGATCAAATTATACCTGAAAGCTGTTTCATAGAGAAATATGTTTTTCAAAGATGTGCAGTGTTCCCTTGAACTGATGTAAATTCTTTTTCTCAATAGATTTGTAAAGAATGACATTATAAACAATTTGTTCTCGGAAATACCCAATGAATAAAAGCTTCTTGCTTTTAGAATAAAAACCTTTGTATTTTTTTGACACCAAAAGCCTTGGCATTTCTTCTGTTGCAGCAGGTATTTATTCTATTGTAACATTTGCTACCCTGCCCTTTATTGTTTAGTTAAAGAGAAAATTCAAAACCCAGACCAAAGCCATCCTGCAGTGTTTCCATAAAGCTGTTCGGTGTCAAAATACGTGAGAGGTGCTTTCCACTCACCATATCACCTGTCACCTGTCCAACAAAGTGAGGAATAAGATAAATATATATGTTTTGCTTAAAAAAAGGAAACATATTCAAAATCACTTCTATGAAAGGATGCATTCTAGAATATTTCATAGTCACAAAACTAATTCTTAACTGTACTTTATTAAATCCACTGGCTAAATAATGGGAATAATTTTGATACTTTTTTTGTATTCTACCTTGAATTAATATGAATGACTGAATAATTGAACTAAATGATAACTTTCAAGACAATATCCAAGTGGTAAATCTGGATGATTTTATCTATTTTTACATCCTAAAAAGGGAAACCTCTACCTGTCTCTCAGAAAACTGATTACTACTGATTATTGACAATCTGATTATCAGTACAGCTGAAACTATAATTTAAATTTGAAAATATATTCCTTGATATTGTGATGGAGCCACCCATTGAATATTTGTTGTTTGAATCCTTTGTATTCTTTCCCATAATAATTTCATTGAAACGTCATTAATGCTAAATGCTTATGTTTTCAACTGCTAGCATGGGGTAAGCTTTACCTTGTAACTGATGTGCAAGAATATCTCTAACATTTTAGCATAGAACTAGAATAAGTCACTCATATTCTGTGTTCGAATTGTGGACTAATCTTTTTGTGAACTTGTAAAGTCAATCTTACCTGATTATGGTTAAATGGGACATTCCCGTCCATTTTAAATTATATTAAATTTAATTCTCACTCAGTTTTACTACTATTTGCAAAGTAGTAAAATAATGTATAATATTAATTATGTACTTCTGTAAATTAAAAATTTTACTCTAAGAGAACATTTCCTCTGAAATCAATATTATACCTTCTTTCCATTCATAACTGTCTTTTCAGTGTGAACATGTTTTTGGAAAGAACACAAGTCTTTCTTTTTTCGTTAAACATACCATTTAAAAAGGATCCATGGAGAATATATGTGAAATGTTGCTCAGTTAAAAAAATTGAAAATGTAGATTTCATTTATATAAATAGATGTGAATATATAACCATGAAAACGATTTGACAGCCTATTAACCAAATCTGTTGTCTTCGAGTTGATTCCAACTCATAGCGACCCTATAGGACAGAGTAGAACTGCCCCATAGGGCTTCCCAGCTTTACAGAAACAGATCCACATCTTTCTTCCACACAGCGGTTGGTGGGTTTGAACCACCAACCTTTTGGTTAGCAGCCAAGCCCTTAACCACTTTGCCACCAGGGCCCCTGAGGGCATATTACTATATAATAAATGGGTTTTAGAATTTTAGGTGACTTTTGTTTTATTCCTTGTATTTTTCTAGTTTTTTTTGCATTAAAAATGATTTATTTTTATAATAAGGAAAACATTCTTAAAAGTATTTAGTGAGTAAGCATATAAATAAGCTGAGATATGAGTGATCAGACAGCAATCATTTGAAATAAAATAACGTGAATGAAATTATATATATATCATTCAATTCTAATTCCAACAACATTTTAAGCTAATTTTTTCCTCTCCTCTTAGAAATAATTTAATGGTTTACAAAATATTGTGAACCAATGTGTAGTTGCTATATAGGAGTACTTACATTTTTCTGTGGCTGTAATACTTAGGTTGTACCAAGCGCTAATCTCCCGGTCAAGAGGGTGAGTTGTAGTGATTGTACCATTGTCATCAATACTGAACATTTTGCTTCTGGTAATAGAATACCTATACCAAAAGGAAAACATTTCTTAATATTATTATTTTCTCTGTAACACTGATACACGTAGCTCTTTTTAGATAAGAGGACAGAATATTAAATGCATGCTCTGCACACCTAATGTAATGCTGAAAAGTTTTCAAAAAGGTACATTCGTACATTTCATATTCAACTCAGCTGGGATTAAAAAAAAAACAACACTGAAAAGACTCCAGATTTAAATTGATGTATGCTAAATCTAAACATATGTCACTCACTCTCATTGCTAAGAGAGAATTTTAATAGAGGAGTGTGTTAGTTAAAAAGAAACCACAAAGTGCCATTTGCAAAATGAAGGTAAGTTCAAACAAGTAGGGATAAAAAGTAGTGCTTTTGAGTCTTTGCTTTTTTATTTTATTCAAAGCAAAGTAAAACATATCCTCAGCCTAGCTGTTACTAGTCTCTTTCCTTTACCACATAGTTTCTAGATAAATCTGTACATGTCACAATTATTTGATTCCTGATATGTAAACATATTCCTGATATGTTTAAAAGGAACCATCTGACAGTATTTAATTAAAAAAAAATAGTAAATCTTCTTTGTATAGTAAATGAGGAAGATGTTAAAAAATATAAAGGTATATAAAAGTGTTCCCCCTCTACCTCTCCACCAGCCAAATGAGGGGGCATTATCTGTCATTCTCCTTATCCCAAAAGTAAAGGATAGTAGATTGAAAGTCCTGTTAGATCATGCATGAAAAGAAGCCAAGTTACAAATTCCCTCATACAAAAGCCTGAAAATGATCTCAAATTCTACAAAATGAAAGAAGCCTTTGAAGTTCTCATCATGTCTCATCTGCTTGCAAATGATTAATAATAAAAATTACAGAAGAGTAATAACTTGAGTTCAGTGATGGCTTCTCATTGCATGTATATTCCTGAAAGACTTTGACGAGACATGAATGAGGTTTACCATAATTATGTGGCAAAAGATGAGAATATTTTAATCTTCAATTGACAGGTTTCTAAAAATATCACAGTAATTTATAGCCTAGTGTTCAGGAGAGAATTAAAATAGAAATCACAGAGAATTCAGCTTTAGAAGACTTTGGTTTAACTCTACTCATTTTTAAACATTTACTAGCAAATTACTTAAATATCCACAAGTGGTCGCATTTCCTACTTATAAGATTTGTTGACCAAATGAAATGGTAGTATATCAGTTAATATTTTATACTAAACATTTTCTGTAATATTCTGTTTCTATAAACACATCATTCCAAATAAAACCAATCAAGAGTTTGACAGAAAGTCATAGTTTTTAGTAAAAATTAAGAACAATGGATGCCACAATAATTAGGTTTAGGCCCAAATGAAAAAAAACATGTAGGCACCTTGGAAGAGTGGATAAGCTAGACAGCTTAATATGACTGTAGTACTGATGTGTAATATGTGTCGCTTTCCTTGGCCCCTTCTAGGGCCACCAATTCTGGTCATTTTATTGGCTTTTATACCACCTGATGCTCACCAAAAGGTCAGCAGTTTGAACCCACCAGCCTCTCCTTAGAAACCCTGTGGGGTAGTTTCATCCTGCCCTATAGAATCGCTATGAGTCGGAAACAACTCAACAGCAACAGATTATGCTCACCAATTCTCATATGTCTTTCACCCAACTTTCCCAAAGGTTAACAATTATATAAAACTATAGCATTATTATTGTATCAAATAAGAAATTAATTGACATAACTACAGATTTTATTGGGATTTCACCTGTTTTTCTACTAAAGTCATTTTTATTTTCTAATATCCGAGATAGGATCTCACATTACATCTAGATTTCATGTCTCCGTAGTCTTTTCCACGGTTTCTCAATCTCCTGGTCTTTCATGACCTTGACACTTTTGTTGAGTATTGTTCAGTTGTTTTGGAGAATGTCCCTGAGTTTGAATTTATCTGATGTTTTCAAATGATTAGAATACCACAGAAGTGATGTGCCTTTCGCAGGGTAATATCACGAGATACATGATATTGATCGATCTTATCATCGGTGATGTTGACCTTGGTTATTTGATTATGGCAGTGTCTGCCAGTTTTCTCCACTGTAAAGTTACTATTTTCTTTACTGTAAGTCATAAAGATCTCAGGGGGGTGATACTTTGAAATTCTGTAAATATCTGTTTTTTCCTCAAACATGTGCCAACTAATTTTAGTACCCATCCATAGACCAGGCCCATAATAACTGCCACTTTGGTGTTCAAATGATTTTTTTTTTAATTCCCTTCATTCTTCTACATTTATTAATCATAACTTATCTGTAAGAAGATTTGTCCGTTTTATTTATCTATACCAGAATCAACTCATGGGTATTTTTTCTATGTGTTACAATCCAAAACTATCGTTTGATATATATATATATACATATATATGTTACTGAAATAGCTCCAGTTTTGGACATTGGAAGTTATTCCATTGCAGTTCCTGGGCCCTTTCAACATACTCTCAATTCCTTTTTGAATACTTCCTTACTTTCTGGAACCATCAGATGTTCCAGGCTCATTTCACATTTTCCCTCAAAGAGCTCTAGAATCAACCATTTCCTCAAGGAGTCTCAGTACATTTGATTGGATAATTTGGGTGCCAGATGCACTCTTCTTCTTTTGATATTTCTTTTTGTGTTACCTTTAGGGCTCTGAATGGACAGCAATATGTGTAGAGTAATATAGATATAGATAAATATCCTTGCTTAAATTTTCATGGAATTTTATTTTTGTGACAACCTACTTTTACTCATGGTTTAATGCAGAGCTAGTTAGCTGACGTTCCAGACATACCTGATGGGAGAGTCCCTATGATCTGGATCTGTGGCAGACACCATGCCTACAAAGGATCCATAGGAGTTTCCTTCAAAAATTTCAAATACATAATACGGGAGGAGGAAAACGGGAGGTTCGTCATCATCTTCCACCTGGACCTTAATGAAAGTGGTGGAAGCTTCAGCATGATATTTCATGAGATGTTCATCAACATGGCAGTTTTTAACTTTTGCTTTAATGCCATAGTGATTCTGGTGCTCAAAATCCACTTTCTACAAAGAAATACAATGTACACAGAAGACATGGCTTCAGTAACCCAAGTCATTGCTTATGAGGAAAAAAAGTGTTAATTATTAAATTAAGTCTCAGTTGCTTTTCAGTTAGGTTTTACTCTTTGAAAACATGGATTCCTCTGATATTACCACAAAGCAATTTCATTACAAATCACTGTATTTTGTTGTTTACATCTATTACAAAATGTTTTGGAATAATAGCTATATTTTTCATTTAATATTAAAATTATACTTCTCAAAGCATAAGTATTTTATGGGATTGTATTCAAGATCATCTCATAAATGCTGTCTTTCATTTCAAAATATTTATAAATAAGCTGTTCCACATTATCATTAGAAAAACTCTATGATAGCTATCTAGCTCTCTAGTCTCTATACTCCTTTTTCTTCCTAAGTCATAAATCACAGCTTCTCATTTCACATAGTTAATAAAGCAAAAGCCTGACTGGCTGTACAAAATAATTTTGTGCATTTCATATTTAATTTTGCACTATTGTGTAAAGAAAATGATTTAAATACATCTACCTTTTTTAATATAACTATTCCTTCTTGGGTCTCATTGTTAGTGATGATGTCAAATGTTTGTGAAATATCTTCTACGCTGTATTCCATTTCTGCATTCTCTCCTATGTCATTATCGTATGCCATGATTGTTCCTATAGAAGTCCCAACGGGGGCAGATTCAGAGACAGACAGGCGGTAGAACGCTTTTAAAATGAAATTCAAGATATTTTGTGTCAATTATAAACTTTAGAAACTGCCAGTCGTAACACACTTTATGAACTGTGGGTAAACCCAACCCCAGCCTTTCCAATTATTTGTTCTAAATGTCTATTTTTTCTCTATTTGTTAAATGTGAACATTTTCTTAATATCCTGTCTGAGCCTTTATTATTCTCTCAAATTATATCTTATGAAGTCCTATCACGAGTATGTATAATTACCAAATTTCTATTCATAATCATACCTTCTCAATATTCATGGCTTTGTTTTTTATTTTATCTTTTAACCCTTCTAAATTAGCATTGCTTAAAAGAGTTCTGCAACTTCACTCAAGCTTTCCCTAGTGCCTAAATTTACCCACAAATGTAAGTACGAATTAAAGGTAGGGGAGACTAAGAACAAGTAGATGAGTTCTAAGCGTAATAGTTTGATTTTGAGGTAATGAGACTGGATCAGATAAATCATAATGGAAATGAAAAGAAAGTTGAATCCAAAGGAGTAAGTGGATGAAGTAGAGAAACCATGTTAGAATCACAGATGTCCCCATTGTTTTGGTCACAAGAAATAATAACAGTTATATTTGAGATATATAGACACATATACAAATAACTGTGGGTTTTTTTTCTTGATTTCTTAAGAGTAACTTACATAAGGTTCATAAAGAACTATTCCATTCTTCTCAAATAAATTATCATAATTTATGCTAAAAGAGTAGGAAATAATCATACATGCCTATATTCTCAAGAATGAAACTTTTTAGAATTTAATAAAGGAAAACATAATCAACTTTTTTTTCTTTAAATGGACTCTTGGTTCTGTTAGAAGCATATAGTAAGTCACTTCACAGATTGCCTTGTAGGATTTTACCTTTTTAATTTTATTTTTTGGTGGGAAGAATGTTATATAAAAGTTGCTTATCTTTTACTGTTTTTAGAGATGGGAGAAACAGTTCAACTTTGTGGCAGTTTTTCATTGTGGGAAAATTAAAAGAAATTCTTATTTAACTGCACAAATTAAAAATTGCTCACAAATTGAACTTGAGAAAACAGTAACACTACCATAAAACTAAAAGCTGATACTCTAGACTTACATGTTATTAAGTTTATATTAAACTATGGCCCTTCATCGTTAAAAGCAACCAAAACATTTCCTCAGATCAACACTTGTGTTGTTATTAGATGCTGTGGAGTCGGTTCTAACTCATACCGACCCTGTATAACAGAACTAAATGTTGCCAGGTCCTGCACCATCCTCACAATCATTGCTCTGTTTGAGCCCATTGTTGTAGCCACTTTGTCAGTCCATCTCATTGACAGTCTTCCTCTTTTTTGCTGAGCCTCTACTTTACCAAGCATGATGTCCTTCTCCAGGGACCGGTCCCACCTTATAACATGTCCAAAATACCTAAGATGAAATCTCGCCATCCTTGTTCCTAACGGACATTTTGGCTATACTTTTTCCAAGACAGATTTGTTCGTTCTTCTGGCAGTAAATAGAATTTTCCATATCCTTCACTAACAATTAGTCTCTGATATTTTCCAGATTTATTAAACAAATATATTTTAAAGGGGATAAGTTGAATATTAAATTGAAAGGAGGGTAATGGGATTTCATTAAGGGAAAGCAGTGGGAAGAGTAAAGAGGCTGCTCTCTAAACAAGCGGACTCAGTCTAATTACATAAGTCCTTAAAAGTGGAAGAAGAGGGGAAGTGTGGTTTGGAGAGATGGCAGTATGAGAAGGATTTGATGCTCCTTGCTGCTTCTGAGACGTGAGGGCCATGTGTAGGAATCAGAGAAAGATCTCAGTTCCCCAGCTATGGTCAGCAATGAAGCAAGATCTCAGTCCTACAATGACATGGAACTGAGTTCTGCTAACATGGCAATGAGCAAGGAAATAGATTTTCCCTTAGAGCGTACAGAAAGGACCCCAGCCCTGCTAACTCCTTGATCTCAGCTGGGTGAGACTCAAGCTAGACTTCTGTAAGATAATGAATGTATGCAGTTTTAAGCTACAAAATTTGTGGTAATTTGTTATGGCAGTGATAGGAAATTATTGAACACATCACTCTTTCATTTGTATTTGACTTTTCACACTAATGAAGCTCATCACACCTTTGAGCAATTCTTAACAAATTCATTTTATATAATTTTAACATTGTTGCAGTGATATTAGACTGAAAATTCTAACAATCGCCCATAATCAATACACTTAAATTTACACTTTATGATATAAATTTGGGATGTCTTCTACTTACTTGTTTTAAATATAGGCTTATTATCATTAATATCAGAAAGTCTAACTAATACACTCGTTGTTCCAGTAAGTCCTCCAGGTTGACCAATCATGTCCTTGGCTTGAACAATTAGCCGGTGTTCCTCTTGAAGCTCTCTATCCATTTCAGAAAATATTCTTATGACTCCTTTAAAAATGGAATACAATGCCACTTATTATTTCACTCCTACCATGGCACCTTCCTGGTTAAGTTAATCTCTTAAGCATCCAACCATACAGTCGGTCTTTTGACATATGTTGGGCCACTACAACATGCCAGACACTGCCCTGGAGAAAAGAAGCCATTCATTTATGGAAACATCTGGTCTACTGTACATCATGATTTTATTAATATATTTCAATGGTGATTTGGGTTCAGACTTATTTTAAATGAGTATTAAATTCATTGTTGCTTATGTAACAGAATACAGTGATTCAGTTGCAATTGAAATTCCTAACAACAGTTTATGTTTGTAAGTGACTACTCTTTACCAGTTTTGTGTTATTTGTCTACTTTAGAATCATGTTGAATTACAGTTTGCTTCATTCAGAAATACCTGTTGTCGGTTCAATGGAGAAATATGGCTGTCCTTGTAGTAGGCTGTATAGGAGACGAGCATTATTGCCAGTGGAAGGATCATCAGCATCCCTAGCTGTCACCTGGATGACTAATGTTCCTGAAGAGAAAATAAACAGTAACATGACATTAAGACTCTTGTAATATTCAACCATGATCTCGATTCTGTATTTTCTTTTGCAAGTAAAGTGACAATATAAAGTGAAAGACTAGCCTATCTCTTCACTGTAAAACTAATATCTTTCCACATAGTAAAAAGAATATTACCTTATATTCTTATATCCTTACAGCCCCAATTCCCGCATACAATGTAGAATTTTAAACACGTAGCTTTATGACATTATGAAATGTACCTATTATATAATCTATTATGATGTGTTTAATCAGGACCTTTATAAGATGTGTTATTAGTAGAGATATAAAATATGATTTTCTTCAAAAATCATGCTATGACCTGTACCTCATATAAATTGCAAAATGGTGACAAAATATAAGGATTATTGAAATGAACTTGGAAGAGTATCAAAGTAAGGATGGGCGTAACTATTTTGCCTGTTTAATTCCTTTCTATAAACACATACTTGATTTGAAGAATTTAAAAAAGCAAAACAAATTCTACCAAATATTGATAATCTAGCAAATGCTATTCTCATTATGATTTAGTAAAAAGCATTAAAAATCATAGAAATAATTATTTGTACATTTAAAAATAATGCTCAGGTTAAAAATATTTCTTTGAATAAATTAAGCTTTTTAACTTTTTGTAAACGTTAAGTACACCACTATAAATCTTATTGAAAATCAACATTTGTTGAGATTCCACTTTCTATGTCAATAAAAATGGCATTACAAATGGCGCACAATCAAATAGACTCTGATTTTTTTTACAATTAGCATCATGCATTTTCCCATTACAACAGAATTTTATAAACTGTTACACTCTAATAGGAAGCCTTTCTGTTCTTCAGTAATAAAAACTGTTGAAACTTTTACCATGGCCCTCAATAGCACGTATTCTTTGCTTTTTTTTTCCCCCTTAGTATTTTTATGTTAAAAAAAAAAAAAAGTTGCCGTTGACTGGAGTAGAACTGCCCAATAGGGTTTCCAAGGAGCAGGTGGTAGATTCAAACTGCTGACCTTTTGGTTAGCAGCCAGACTCTTAACCACTGCACCACCAGGGCTCCATTTTTACGTTGGTTATGTGTTTACATTGGAATGCATATTTTACTGAAGAAAAACTTGCAGTGGTAAGGCTCTGAGTCAGCTGCTTAAAAAAACTCATAATTGTAATTGGTTATACTTTCACTTGATTCAAAAATCAAGAACTATAAAATGCTTAAAAAGAAAACAGCTTGCTACTTCCTATGCTAAAGAAACCCATTGCTGTTGAGTTGAGTTCGACTCATAGCAACCCTGTAGGACAGAGTAGAACTGCTCCATAGAGTTTCTAAGTCTGTAAATCTTTATGGAAGCAGACAGCCACATCTTTCTTCCAAGGAGCAGATGGTGGGTTCAACCAGCTGACTTTTAGGTTAACAGCCCAGCACTTAAGCACTTCACCACCAGGGCTCCACCACCTCCTATACTTACCCAATTCCCTCAACCACTCAACGTGTAGACACTTGTTAGTATCAGATATTTTAAAATACATTCCTGCAGTAATTTCGAGGAGCTATGACAACAAATGGGAAACCCTGGTGGTGTAGTGGTTAAGTGCTACAGCTGCTAACCAAAAGGTCGGCAGTTCAAATCCACCAGGCGCTCCTTGGAAACTCTATGCGGCAGTTCTACTCTGTCCTATATGGTCGCTATGAGTCGGAATCCACTCAACGGCAATGGGTTTGGTTTTTCGGTTTTATGACAACAAATGAGTTCATGGGAATCATCGACTAGATCAGTTTGCATTGGGTAGGATTTGTTATTTACCTATCCTGTGTATACACCCTCTCACTCCTTCTATATTTCCTTACCATAGGGATTCCTCATTCCTGGTTTTGAGACTACCACCTTTTCCTAGCTTCAGGAACCATTGCCAAAATCTTGATATTGTTAGTTGTTGATCAAAATAAATTCTTTATAATCTAAGACTTTATACTTCCTAGGCTAATATTATATGAGTAGAAACAGGAAGGCCAAGAAAAGGGAATGACTCACGAAAGATCACTCCATACTTTATTGATATGAATACAAGCTTTGGCATTAGTTGCTCTTCCCAGTCAAAAGATTTTTGTTGTTGTTTGTTTTGTTTTATTTTGTTTTTGACACATTTTTCATGATGTTTTGTTTACATCTGCTAAACAAAACTTACCACTTCATTTCCTATTGTTAGTCTTTGCTTTCTGCTAAATGAAAAACCAAATGTAATCTGTTAATGGATTATACAAAATAATTCTCTTAGTGTGTGGAAAATCAAAAAAAGGCAAACTCCTAGGAAATATAGTGGTAAAAACCGTGAGATGTTATAAATACAATTTATAGTGTGATGCTATAAATAATTTCTAAGGAAATCTTTATTATTTTCTCCTGTAAGTCTTATGGCACTTTTAAAATTAAAAGACTGTAAGAACAGCAAGGGGGCGCTCTCTGACCTTCCCTAACTTCACAAGGGATAGGAGAATCAAGATCAACCTCCCAAGGCTGATTCCTATGAGGCGGAGGTCAGACATGCCTCTTATCTCCACCATCTTTACCAATTCTGACACCAACCATTCTTCCCACAGCACTCTCTATTTCTCTGTTGAGTTTGGTGATTCATTGCAGTGACCGCACAGAACTCACAGACCATACTCATGGTTATGGGGTTTATTAGGAAAGTAACAGGTTACAGTACAGGTTCACGAATGCTCAGGATACAGTTCTTTCATCTGGACAGCCTTTTCTCAGCTGTGCCCTCAGGCATGCCTCTCTCTGGCCCCTTGGCCTCTGCCCTGCTCAGGCAAGTGCTACAAAGCTTTTTTTAGCTCTGCCAGTAAGTGCCCTGAGACACCCCACTCTGCCAGTAAGCCTCCGCCCAAAGGTGCTCAGGTCTAGCTCCATGGGCTGGCAAACCTAGCTCCACCAAGTGCCCAGAGGCACCCTTCTCCTGGAGCAAGCCTCCTGCCCGAAGGCACTCTGCTTTCTCACTCCGAGGACTGGGAAGCCCACCATGCCGTCTCCTGCAGATCTCTCCTGCTGCCGTTTTTCTGCAGCTCCTTCTCACCGTCTTCAGTGTTACAGCTCTTTCTCTTGATCTCCTTGTTCCAAAAGCTTCTCAGTACACAGATCCCATGCTCCGCTCTTGGCTCTTCTTCCTTGGAAGTGGTGAGATCCTCCCTCTGCTTAAAATAGTGGCTCTCTTTTAAGCCTAGCGGGACTGTAAAACTGACCAATCCCCTTGGTGGGCCACAATTACCTTATTTGTACAGTCCCTCCCAGACACTTTGGTGGAAGTTACAAGACCATGGTGAGAAAGGCCACACAAAAGCAATCCATCCTACTGTGAGGACCAAACATTTAGAATTGGGATGATTCTACTATGTTTCAATGGCTCTTAGTGCTTGATAATGAATTAATAGCTACTCACTCTTTATATTTATGTGTGTGTGTGTACATATATACCATACTATGCACTTACCATAGAAGAAAGAAGAAATGTAAAATAAATTAAGATGATAAAAATATGTAGTAGTGTTTCCAAAAAATTAGTACATATAGTTTTGCCTTAAACTCTGACTAATGATTTGGAAATATTGTCCGTAAAATTCAGAAGGTCCATGTTGTTGTTGTGTGTTGTTGAGTTAATTCCGACTCATAGAGACCCTATAGGACGGAGTAGAACTGTCCCATACAGTTTCCAAGGCTGTAATCTTTAAGGAAGCAGATGGCCACATATTTCTCCCTCAGAGCAACTGGCGGGTTCAAACCACCAACCTTTTGATTGGCAGCTAAATGCTTAACCAATGCACCACCAGGGTTCCTTAGAAGGGCCTTAAAAAAAAAAAAAAAAAAAAAAAAAAACTTATTGCTGTCAAGTCGATTCTGACTCATAGTAACCCTGTAGGACAGAATAGAACTGCCCCATAGGGTTTCCAAGGAGCACCTGCTGGATTCAAACTGCTGACCTTTTTATTAGCAACTAAGCTCTTGAATCACTTTGCCACCCAGATCTCCAGAAGGGCCTTAGCAGTATTCAATTCTCATACCATCTCTGCCTTATTTTTTCAGCAATTTGAACATAGCATACCTAGGTGTGGTTTAGTGTGAGTGTGTGTGTTAACGTGAGTTTCATTGAGCTTGAATTTGTGGCTTGAAATTGTTTTTCAAACGTGGAAAAATTATGGCCAATTATTACTTCAAATATGTGTATTTTATCCTCAATGGCCCTGAGTAAATCAGTTGCATGGCCTTAAAGATAGGATTGAGGCTTTCCCCAGAGACACAAGGGATCCAACCTTGTGAACAACAATTTCAACTCTTATCTATGGTTTTCAGTTGGCTCATGGTCATTGCTTCTCGACTCTCTTTGGACAACACCTTGATTCTGTACCTATGGGGTTCAGCAAGTTCATGGTCTCTCTTGCCTGAGAGCCTGCAACAAAGACATTGGAGATGCATAGCTGCCTCCATAATTGTGTAAACCAATTCCTTGCAATAACTCCATATATATGTATATCTATCTATATGTGTATCTACATATATATGTGTGTGTGTGCATGTATTGTACTCATTCAGTTTTTCTGATTGACCCCTGACCATTACCATTACACAGTCTAGCTTCAAATACTATTATACCACTTTCCAAAAAGCAATATACACTTCAATTCTTCAGTGTCATCCTCTGAGTTTGTATGGCCAAAAGTTTTAATTTTATGTATATTAAATTAATTATTTTTAATATTTTTGCTTCAGACCATCTATTATATTTTATAGTGATTAGACACAAAACGTCCTTCTATTTCCCTTGCAGTTTGCTGTTTTTAGATCTCTTATTCAAGTAGATCTAAGTTTCTTTTTTATCTTACTGTACTCCTTCTCCCTGAAGAACTCTCTTTAACATTTCCAGTAACACAAGTCTCCGACCCTGATTTCTCGCAACTTTTGTTTCTCTGATTAAATATAACT